CCTGTGAATATTACACTAATGCCGGGGGCCTTGCATCGAGCCGGGGATTTGTTTATTCTCTAGAATTGCACGTGTTAGATGCAAGAGAGACATGCTTCGTGAATGAATAGGAATGGATGTTGGTAAGACCAGCGGAGGCAAGTGGGCTTCCTCTGGTAGAGGCTGCCATCTGGTGGAGATGGAGCGAGTTGCTGTTACCTGCTCGCCAATGAAAATAACCTCGACTTAAAGTTTTCGTGACTGCAGGAATTCATATTCTTGGGTCTTTCCGTAAAGTCACGTAGATAGGTTCAAAGAAAGTAACAACAAAAATCGATGACGTTTCGATCGCCAACACAAGCGGTCGTCTTCAGGAAAAGGGGGGGTTAGCTTCCAAGGCAAACTTTTTAAGGGAGAGACAAAACAGACACGGAGACACATAGACACACAAGCAGAGAGATACAACACAGAGACACACAGAGAAACAACGCCTCTGTGTCGAGGCCTTAAATAGAGAGGGGGGAGGGTAGAGAAATTAGAATGTCAATGAGAGAGTTGTGTGGAAATCCACCCCGTAGTGGACGGTGGAGAGAAGGAGCAAATAGACCTATAGACAAACAAGCCTGGTAAACATTTACATTATGAGACCTCCTTTGCCAGTAGCAAGATATAGTAATAGGTTTTTACCCTTTTATCTGGCGCCAAAATTGACACCTTTATACAAGGGATCATGTTTGCAATAACCACAACACAAGCAGTCAAAATGCAAACAAAAGAGAGTTATATGCCTTTTGGCGTCATCTGGTCCAACACCAGTGGAGACTAGGCTCTAAGAAAAGCTGTCTCGGGTGTGGAGCAATCAATTTCAAGGACAGTGCATATCATTATCAGAGTTGTCTCTTTTTGTTTGCATTTTCACTGCTTGTGTTGTGGTTATTGCAAACATGATCCCTTGTATAAAGGTGTCAGTTTTGGTGCCAGATAAAAGGGTAAAAACCTATTACTAAGCCTGGTAAATTTTAGAGAGAGAAACAGGAAGTTCGAGAAGACAAACTTAGTAAAATTTGGAAATGTAATGCAATGCAATGCAACACAGAGTCGGTTAACACACAGTTAACGCATAGCCTGGTTGATTATGTTCTACCAAAGATTGCTAAATTAGAAGTTAAGTGTGAAATTTGAAAAACACAGACACGGAGACACATAGACAGACACACAAGCAAAGAGAGACAACACAGAGATACACAGAGAGAGAAAAACTTAAATCCTCCCCGTAGAGGTGGTTCAAACTTGATTTGAAGCTTTCGTGACTGCAGGAATTACTCTGTGGTTCTTTCGGTAACGTCAGGTAGAAAGAAAAATACAATTATACAATACGACTTTTTAATTGCAACACAAGCAGTCGTCATCAGGTATAACAAACCTAGTAAACTTAGAAATATAATGCAATACAACACAGAGTCGGATAACACAAAAGTCAACACCCGACCTGGTTGATTACGTTCTTCCAAAGATTGCAAAATTTGAGAGAGAGACAAAACACAGACACGGAGACACATAGACAGACACACAAGCAGAGAGAGACAACACAGAGACACAGGGAGAGACACACACATAGACACACAGAGAGAGACACACACATAGACACACAGAGAAACAACGCATCTGTGTCGAGGCCTTAAATAGAGAGAAGGGGGGGGGCACAGAGAGGGGTGGAGGGTAGAGAAATTAGCATGTCAATGAGAGAATTGTGTGGAAATCTACCCCGTAGCGGACGTTAGTCCCAGCCAACTTCAACTTGAAAAATACGTAAAAAATGAGTGTAGGTGATTCTTATCTTAAATTGCAGCCTTGAGTCAGTCCCAGAAATAACACATTCTGTTGATGGAGCCCATTCTGCTCAATAGGAGTTCCCCTGGTGACTTCCCATAGGCGATGCTCTTTGTGTTGAGCTCAAAGAGATGATTGTCTTAGTTGACCTAAAAACTGACATCTGAATTTGCCACCTTCCAACTTTCAGTCTCGCACTCTAACCAAAGTGCCACCCGACTACTTCAGCCCAGTGCGTTGTCTCCTATGTGATAACGTCCATCACCGTGTTAACCGCCATGCTGCCGCCCCTCCCCTGCCATGCTCCTGGACAGGTTCAGTGAGGGTGCCGCCAGGCTCCAGTGGGACTCTTGCTGCCTCTACTGCATCCCTGACAGCACACTTGCACCAGGAGGGCCTCATGGGCCGAGCCCAGGTGCCTGCGTGAGCCTTCCTGCCACCCTGGAGGCTCCCGGAGGGTGCCCCGCCAGGCGCCCACGTCCGTCACTGCGCCTGCACGATGGCCCCATGGAGAGCGAGGAGCGGGAGGCTGCGTGGAGAGACCGGAGGGACGTGGGCACCATCACGGGTGCGCGCCTGTGCACATCACTTCCTGTTTTCTGGAACTTCTCAGAGCCGGTGCATGGTTGACACTCAACCTCCAACATCACAAGACCTGATATCATATCCATGCAGGATGCCCATAAAAATAGAGCCTAACAGCTTATTGGGCCCTTTCTGCTGAAATAAATAAAATCTAAATCGGTCAGGATTTAAATATTGTATCCATTGCCTAGGTGCCACTCCATTCCCTCTGCCTTGATAGCTTGCCCTACTCCATCTTGCACACTGATAGATTTCCTATCTATTAATGCCCGACCCCAAGGCCTGCTTCTGCAGTACCTGTCGTTTGGGTTTAGCTCTTCTCATCTGCCTCGGTAACTTGTCCTGCCCCATCGTGCACATGGGACCCTATCATCACAAGCTGCTCTCCCTGAATTATTTTACATTGATTTCCACGGAATATCTCTTTCCTAGGTGCTTTAACATTCATCTGTCTGACCCCTTCAGTAATGCAAAAATTATGCCACTGCCTCCAACATCCATCTATTAACGGTGAAATTGAAATCTCAAATTTTCCTAAAGGAACTTATCATTGTATGTGTACAGTCTTTTTTTCATTTCACTACTGGATGACTTCCCCATTGTGTGGATTGCGAGAGTTATTTCACCATACTTCAGTGTCAGTTTGTGAAGACAGAGAGCATAGACTTAGAGGCATAAAAGTCCAGCATAACAATAGATTTTGCAGGATCGCCTTCTGTTAACCACAACCCAGCAGCCTATTATAAGACTTGTTATGCACAGTAGTCACCCATCCAAGCCCTACCCAGGCTCAACCCAGCTTACCTCCCGAGACCTGACGAGGTCGACCGTCTCCACGGAGTGAAAGTCCAGAAGGTGCTGCGCAATGACCATGATTGCCTCGCGCTCCCACCTGCAGACGCGTACGGCAGTGGAGGAGGCGGTGACGAGGCCGAGGTGGAGGTCGTGAGCCTCATGGAGGAGCGGCTGCCGCTGTTTAGGCTGCGTGCCGACTCGGTGCTGGGCTACGACCGTGACGACTGGATCCGCACTCCAGTGCTGCCCCCGGACGCCGAGCTCGAGCTAGGCCTGGAGCTCGTGGAGGAGACGCTCAAGTACATGCGTGAGTGCACGCGCGCGCCCGGCCTGCACATCGCTCTCTCCATCGATAAACTGGTTTAAACTATTAAACTAAACATTTTTGTATCTTACCAGGTAAGGCCCACTGGAGCTATATAGCTCTTTTTTCAGAAGCGACCTGGCCACAAATGATAGCTGAACGAAGTGGCTCATCACGTGGAGATTAATATCAGCCAAATACTCTAAACGCATGTTTTTAAAACTCCAAATATACAGGCGTCAGGGTAGGATCGAACCCACGACTTCCTGTATACCAGGCAAGGTAGTTAACACTTCGCCACCATGGCGACCCTTATTAATGTTAGCCACCTGAGCAATTAATATACTCGGAAACACTGTGCATCCTATTTATGTTTCAAGTCATTATTCATTATTTAATGTACGGGATTGTCGAGGGTTGCAAAACCCTTGCTGTGCTGTTGTAATGTTGGCACTGACAGTGTCGTCAATCATTGGGATTCTGTACAAGGCATTCTGTACATGATGTATATCTTGTTTATTCTTGCTGTTCTGGAAAATCCACAATTATCTTGCTGCACATAATTGGTTAATAGGTCCATGCCTTATTATGTTGCTGTACTCTTTACAAGGTTGGGTAGCTGACACTTGTAAGCTGTTGAATGTGTGCATGTTCATGTGGTTGGGGAGCGGCGGTGTAGTGGTTTTCACACGACGCTACGGATCTTAGAAACCTGATTGAAATTTTTGGACTAATAAAATTGGAAACTGTTGTCTAAACCTATTGTGAGTCTCCCTAAGTTGACTCAGACTCAAATTAGTACCTCGTTTGGAAACTCACTACAGACAGACAAACGCAGCAGGCCATGGTGCTGACCACATCAAACTTTTTTTTTATCTGTACACCAGCCTTCATAGATGGTTGCAAACAAGACTTCCCCTACAACATGAACTTTGTTTTTTGTGTGTGCATCATGTGTGATTTTTTGGGCAGGAAGCCAATGTTTTAAAGCACCTTATGAAAACATAGTTTATTAAACACATAATGTCTTGATTTAAAGATTTCGAGACTGCAGGGATTCATATTTTTGGTTCTTTCGGTAAAGTCACGTAGAAGGGAAACAATTAAATAATAAAAATATAAAACAATTAAATTCTCACGACGTTTCGACTGCAACACAAGCAATCATCATAAGGTGTGAAAACCACAGCAAGAAAATTTGAAAAAAGTGGCGTTTTTTTAACGTTAGCACCACGGAGAGCGATTTGCCAGTTATTCAGATGGACGAGTCCATCTATGTTCGGAAAAGAGGAGGGGGGAGACGAAAATAATGGATGCGGTCTGAAAGCCACCGTAAGCGTGAACAATCAATTAAGACCCGAAATGGTTTATCAAATCCTTCACATGATTGCTAAGCCAGAATCCATCTTCTCGGTTGAAATTGTCTCTGTGTTTGTATATGTGGATAGCTTCATGAACGAATCTCTCATGGTAGCCAGATGGCTTGCAAAGAACCTCTGTCTTGGAGAAATCAATGTCATGTGAGCCTACTAAATTATAACAGTGATCTGCCACGGCCGAGGTGTTGGTCCTACCGTGTTTTAGGTCTGCTTTGTGTTCACGAATGCGGTCCGAGACATGTCGTTTTTTGCAATTGTTTTTTCTTCCGGCATCTCTTATTTGTCACGTGACCAGAATAATCCTTACAACGAGGAGTTGATGAGCCTATGATATGAAGAGTTTAGTTGCTGAATCCAGACTCCAGTTTAAGGCATTTAAACCATGGATTCTTTATTCACGCATAACTCTGTTGTTTCACCCCACATAACAGTAAACAATGAATGGATGTATTTTATCAAGTCACTTGGTGAATTACCTATGGTGGGTTGAAGTGTGGGTACCCTAAGTAAAGTTGGTTTCAGACAGCTGTTTCTGCTGTGCTGGTATCTGTAACCACACTGTGCCCACACTCCTGGGGTTGCAATGCTGAAAGAGCGCAGGGCATATAATGGGTTCACCACAGAGTGATAGATAAGACACTTGCATTTAAGTAACTGCAGAAGTCATGCTGTGATGTGAAAGTCTGAGGGAGAAGCCTTCCTTGATATAGTACAATATTCCACTGCTCATTGCTGGTGTTCTGGATTGACATTTCTTCATCTCATTCATTGACGTTGCCAGCACAATTCGGAATTTAGTTGGGATTTTAAAAAAATGTATTCAACTGCGTTCCTCCCTATGTGCTCATTACCATCGAGAACACTCACGGCACGCGAAGTGATTGTGAGTTTCCCCCAATCACTGCCATTGGTCAAAGCCTTACAAGCTGAGAAACGCTCATTTGCATGCCAGGCGACATGGAAGCACACACACTTGCAAAATAATTTATTTTGTTTTTATGTTAGTTGCCTTTCTGTCCACAAACTGCAAGGCCAGGCCGGGGTTAATCTGACCATAGTAGTGGGGCCGATGATGTAACTTGCAAGTGCGCTTTGGCCGAAAACGTATTTACAAGTTCAGGTTCTCTCGCTCCTAAATCGGCATGTCTGAATGGTCGTTACTGTGTGAAGTTGATTGAAAATATTTCAGTGCAGAATCACTGCATGTGCTTGTGTAATTATTCACGAAAAGGGAGGAAGGTACCCCTCATATTCTTGGTTATTTCGGTAAAGTCACGTTTCCCTTCTTACGTGACTTTACCGAAAGAACCAAGAATATGAATCCCTGCAGTCACGAAAGCTTTAAATCAAAAGTACCCCTCATAGTTTAGAACGTGATCTCCTGCTGTCTGCGCTCTCATCCAAGGCAAAACTAAATTGCCAAATAAAATACTGTACACTGAATAATATTGCTAGGTATTATGCTATGTATCCTTCAAAGGCCAGGCGAGGCAGAGCCGAGCATGAAGGCCGTCCAACAGTTTCGATGGCATATGGAAAGTTGTGTCCTTTCCGAACTCACAAAAGGATCCCTTCACAGTTATGCGAATCTTACAGCCAACGTGACCAAGAGAAGCAGCTTTGCGAAAAATGCATTCATTGTTTGGAGGAAGAGTTTGAACCCCCGTCATTTGCATGCAAATAACTGCTCAGCCACCCCCATAGTTCTGAGTCATTGATCACACTTGGCTGGTTCTGCAGTGCTGAGCACTTTGTTAGTTGTGACTGGATTGTAAGGAACTGGCCCGGTTTATCCATAGGACAATCACCATTAACTTCCCATAAAGTGGCATTCAATGTATTCACCCTATATGGATGATGGGCTGAGTAGCCCTTCAGTGAGGAATAGATTCTCAAGTTAAAGGTTGTGGGGCAAAACTCTAAACACAACGTCACTTTAATAAGTTAAACTCACATTTTTATTCCTGAATAGTTATTATTTATCCCGGAAAGTGTTATGGAGTCTCATGACCCATTTTCAGGGGTTCTTACTTGGATTGTTTGGCCCACGCTTTACTGGATCATTTCTGTTTATCAGAGGAGACTGAAATATCTGACGAAGACCCATAAACTGAGGAGCACCTAGACTCCAAACAGACACCGTGGAAGATGTAATTGGAAGTGATAAGTCCTTGCTTTGATATACATCATACAGATCTCTATGAAAGAGACTGGAATTTCCTTGAAGCGATCTCTGTTAAAGTGAATAACAGTGCTTTTATTGTATACATGTATATTTAAAAAAATAAATCGTGGATGCGTCAGGATTTAATAGATCTACTTTGTTTTGAGAGGTTGCTGTAATATATTACTATGAAAGTAAATATCATTCACTTACATTTGTTAATAGTGCTCTATCAAAGTGAAGTCCTCATAGATATTCATGAGAGTAAATGGTGATCAGTTTTAACAAGGTTTGCCATTTTAGTCCTTACCCCTGCAGCACCAAAATGTGGTATCTTGGAGGATTATAACGAAGTCGCCCTTAATTTTCCACAAGACTCGACTGGAGTGAATCAACGGTGGCTTGCCATGACTACACTGAACCTTATCGTATCTTGTGGCTTCTTTTTAAACTCTCTGCTCTGCTGCACATTGGAGCGTTTCTGTAAACTGTTCAGCGGAATGGTGAGCGACCAGGGCATGGGTTAGTGCCCTGTGTTGTGTTACATCTTCAATTCGCCATCTCTGATTTGATGGAGCTGCGGCACAGTGTTTAGTATGCAGCAACATAAGCCAGCTATGCAAATTACATTCCAGGTCACAGCTAGTGATTTTAGAACTGGTCCTGACTTTTTCCCCCTTCACCAATCAAACTCCCCCATGATCTAGGGAGGCCTTTATCCAATGGTGGATTGAGACTGGCTGGAATTTATTTACTTTCCTCATAATTTTGAAATGCACATTATCACATGTTTGGAAGGTGGAGTTTGTGTTTGCAGGCTAACGACTGCTCATGATTTGTCTGTAAGAAGGCACCTTTTATGAAGTCACTAAGCGGGGATAAATCCTGAATGAGAAATCAGAAACAGTGCACGCTGGCTCGGCTTTTACCGTTGTGTGGTCTCTAGAAGGGCATCCAAGCTCCAGCGAGCGCGGGGTGTTGCCCATCTCTCTGTTTGCAGCCCTGAGACGATGGTGGAAATTCCTAATTCCCATGGTCGGGGGCATTTTAACACAGCGCAATAACGTGACGTGTCAACCCCTGAAGGATGTGGTGGATGGACAGTAGGCTCCCGAACTGGGATTTAGGCTGCCTACCTCAATAAGCCACCAGTAGCACTTTTGTATTGCAGTCGTAAACCTACCTGTCGTAATCTTACTTGTATATCTTGGCAGAGGTTGTAAAATATTTGTGTAAATTTGATAACCTGCATTAAGTAAAACAAAAATACCTAAATGCTAGTGAAAGTAAAATTCTTACAAATTTTATCAACCTCGGACAAATAATGATGATGAGCTGCATCAACTCCCAATCAGGTTGTAAACTTTCAACCTTTCAGCTACAGTGCCATGTGGCCGATTAATTTCGTTTTTGAAATGTACACGCGTGTTAATTAATTCACATCCTGCTCCATTTGAAGCCCGGTATCTTATGCACTGTCGTGTTGTTTGTCGAGCTATTGGCATGGCAAGCAGCGTCATAGAACCAGAGGAGCTGCACATTGTGCGTGAGGACACGCCTTTGTTATGTGAAACGTGACCTGCATACAAGTGGTTCGCGCTGTTAGTTTCCCCCCACACTCGTTAGATAGTTATTTTCCAACCACGATATGCTACGTATATATAGCGTATACAATAAATACAGTGAGTTTATAGCCTTTTATCACTCCCCTGCTGGGCCAAGGTTACATGGCGTTTTGGTCACTGGGGTGGTTGGTGAAGGGTGGAGGGCCATGACCGGTGCAGATATCACTCACCACTTATGTTAGCCATGGCCGGGAATCAAATTCAGGTCACCGGATTCATAGAGCAGTGCGTTAACCACTAAGACATGTATCCCTTCATTTAAAAGTTATACAGTATATGAAATATAAACAAAAGCTAACTGTGTAGGTGCAACTTTAACTACAGTGCAATCAATCTCAATGATATATAAAATCCTCAATATGAAAATCAAAGCATCTGCTTAGTTAAATGAGCATGAAGAGGGGTTCCTCTTCACTGGCGGCCTTGAGCTAGTGGTGGAAATTACACATCATAGCAGGTGCCACTCTCATCATATGACAACCACTGTTGATCTCTCACAAGTGGATTTTAATTCACATTTTTATCGTTGCGATTCGAGCGCTCTAACCACTGCATCGTCCAGCTAGATTAACACGTTCGTCTTAAATAATGTTGATTTCATTGTAACGCAAGATCTCTAATTCATGGCACGTTACCAAATCTTTCTAAAGTGTTTAGTTGGGCAACATTGACTGTGGTACAACCCAAGTCTCTCCCCCTTTTCTGAGGAGCTTGATTGGACTGTGCCAGGTGTCCATGCCGCATAAATGTTTTGCTTGGGGCTTGAGTACAGAGGCGGAGGAGTTGAGCGAGTCAGGGCGAGGCACTGCAGCTCCACACACTGTTTGCTTCTTATGTGTCCAATAAGTGAGAAAACTAGGTGCACTCGGGTTCACATTTAGCATGCGCTCTGGCAGCCACTGCAAATCTCTTGCGTGTGAGCATCTAGAATACGTTTAATTAATGTTCGGTCTGCGTTGAACTTAAATTTCGTTTATGGAGAAACCACTTGTTACTCTGTTATTCCTGCGAGTGGGTGTCGTTAGTGACTGATCAGTGCAGTTCACCTGCGGATTTCGACTAATTCGCAAAAATAGCCCAACCAAATAAGCAGCCTGCAGATAATCGCAGCGCTTCGGCCTGACTTGGCAGCTGAACTTGAATCCCCTTCCTCGGGTGGATGCACTTGTTTTGTCTCTTCGGTGACGGGCAGCTGGTCACGTTCGTCCGGACAGAGCGACAGATATAGCGCGCGAGTGAACGAGAGAGGGAGAAAAGACAAGTGCAGTCCGGCCTTCTCCCCCTCGCCTATGTTCGACACGGGATGGCGGCGGCCAGGAGGTTGAACCCTCCGGCGAGCCGCTCTGGCAGAGGGAGACGTGGACCAACTGCAGCAGCAGCAGCAGCAGCAGCAGTCACCTCAACACCAAAGCTGGTGCTGAGCAATGGGGGTGCTCAGGTGCATACTAACTCGGATTCCAGAGAGACGAGCTGGGATTCTCAACACAGAGATGGGATTTGGCTTTCCAGCGACGAGGGTACGGGTAACACGGACGGTGCTGTGCGCGAGCACGGGGCAGAGGACGTGTACGAGGCGGCTCCCAACGGAGAAGCGATGCTCATCTGCGACGGCAATGAACTCAGCGCCTTGGTTGAGGAGGTCGCTGCTGACGACGCGGCAGGAGATGTCCCCTGGGAGCAGGTCCAGCAGGGTACGTGGCGCCACGTCGTGTTCTCTTGCTTTGTTGGAAAGTTTTCCGCGTGCGTTAAGGTGGTCAAGCGGCAGGGCGATCGGTATGCTCGGCCAGTTAGCGCCACAGTGATGGTTACTTTTGTAAAAGAAGTTGAGGTGTAAGGTTTTTACGTTGGGGAATTGTTCCGTTGCAGACCCTATAATCATCATTCGCGATGTTTGTCCGTTTATTAGAGGCATGAAAGAATGGCTTTTATACTCACGTCATGCTTGACAGCATTACTGAAAATAATTGTTTGGATGGCTAATGCGTTAGACTGTGACCAAATCACCAAAAATGTATCTGATCTCGTCTGATTTCAGAAGCTAGACAGGGTTGAGCCTGGGTAGTGCTTGATGTGTGATCACCAAGTCCTAGAGACAGCTGTAGTAGACGTTGTGGGCAGTAGAGGCCAGTGCAGTTAAATTCGTTGTTCCACCCCTCTACTTGAGCCCCCCTATTCAGCAATGGATAAAAATTCGGGCTAGCTATATATGTGTCAAAGGATTGCTCGCACCAGCCAAGTATTACCGTGATTAGAGCACATAAGTCACAATTGGAAGATCATATTGAATGCATTTAGTACCACTTTGTGGGAAGTCAACGATGGTCATCCTATGGAGAGAATCGCCATCATTATAGGAAGTGCTTAATTTGATACACATATCATGCGCGTAAGAATCGATGAATGCGTCGTGAACATTATAGGTGACTTTACTAGATTAACGGATGCATCGTAACATGCATAGGTAGGGGCAAGCACCACCATGCCAGCGCATCTGTAGCAGTGAGTAGTTTTGTCTGCAGACCTCAATACTCCGTGCCATTCTGGGGTACAGCAATGCGCATTGCATGCTTTTTATGTTGATGTGGCTGAGTTAGAGAAGAGATGGACTGATTGGACATGCTGATGACTGGTACCAGTGGTGTCAAGATCGGCCTCTACAGTGAGGGAAAAAAATATTTGATCCCCTGCTGATTTTGTACGTTTGGCCACTGACAAAGAAATTATCAGTCTATCATTTTAATGGTAGGTTTATTTGAACAGTGAGAGACAGAATAACAACACAAAAATCCAGAAAAACGCATGTCAAAAATTTTATAAATTGATTTACATTTTAATGAGGGAAATAAGTATTTGACCCCTCTACAAAACATGACTTAGTATTTGGTGGCAAAACCCTTGTTGGCAATCACAGAGGTCAGACGTTTCTTGTAGTTGGCCACCAGGTTTGCACACATCTCAGGAGGGATTTTGTCCCACTCCTCTTTGCAGATCTTCTCCAAGTCATTAAGGTTTCGAGGCTGACGTTTGGCAACTCGAACCTTCAGCTCCCTCCACAGATTTTTTTTTATGGGATTAAGGTCTGGAGACTGGCTAGGCCACTCCAGGAGCTTAATGTGCTTCTTCTTGAGCCACTCTTTTGTTGCCTTGGCCACGTGTTTTGGGTCATTGTCATGCTGGAATACCCATCCACGACCCATTTTTAATGCCCTGGCTGAGGGAAGGAAGTTCTCACCCAAGATTTGACGGTACATGGCCCCGTCCATCGTCCCTTTGATGCGGTGAAGTTGTCCTGTCCCCTTAGCAGAAAAACACCCCCAAAGCATAATGTTTCCACCTCCATGTTTGACGGTGGGGATGGCGTTCTTGGGGTCATAGGCAGCATTCCTCCTCCTCCAAACACGGCGAGTTGAGTTGATGCCAAAGAGCTCCATTTTGGTCTCATCTGACCACAACACTTTCACCCAGTTGTCCTCTGAATCATTCAGATGTTCATTGGCAAACTTCAGATGGGCATGTATATGTGCTTTCTTGAGCAGGGGGACCTTGCGGGCACTGCAGGATTTCAGTCCTTCACGGCGTAGTGTGTTACCAATTGTTTTCTTGGTGCCTATGGTCCCAGCTGTCTTGAGATCATTGACAAGATCCTCCCGTGTAGTTATGGGCTGATTCCTCACCGTTCTCATGATCATTGCAACTCCACGAGGTGAGATCTTGCATGGAGCCCCAGGCCGAGGGAGATTGACAGTTCTTTTGTGTTTCTTCCATTTGCGAATAATCGCACCAACTGTTGTCACCTTCTCACCAAGCTGCTTGGCAATGGTCTTGTAGCCCATTCCCTGACATCCTTGGAGAGCTCTTTCGTCTTGGCCATGGTGGAGAGTTTGGAATCTGATTGATTCATTGCTTCTGTGGACAGGTGCCTTTTATACAGGTAAAAAGCTGAGATTAGGAGCACTCCCTTTAAGAGTGTGCTCCTAATCTCAGCTCTTTACTTGTATAAAAGACACCTGGGAGCCAGAAATCGTTTTGATTGAGAGGAGGTCAAATACTTTTTTCCCTCATTAAAATGCAAATCAATTTATTCAATTTTCGACATGCTTTTTTCTGGATTGATTTGTTGTTATTCTGTCTCTCACTGTTCAAATAAACCTACCATTAAAATTATAGACTGATCATTTCTTTGTCATTGGGCAAACGTACAAAATCAGCAGGGGATCCAATACTTTTTTCCCTCACTGTATGAAGGAGGCTCGTGAAGGACGCTCTTGGACAGTTGGAGGAAGTCACCTTCCAATAACAGCAGATGGCAGAGAAGCAACGCTCAACAACGAATGGAGCGCCGGGTGGATGAAACGCAGTGAGGTGGTGGAGTGGGGAGCACAGTTAGTGCATCTGCCAGTTATCTCAGTCCGTCAACCCACAGCACCTGGGTCTGTCCCGTGACCACCTTCTGCTAGCGAGCCTTATGCATTTCACGTGGCCTCAAAGTACACCTAGCCTGGCACAAGCGCCGTGGTGACACTGGTGCTGTTTAGTGGTGAAGGGCGGTTGTTGTTGGCTGGGCAGGGTGGGGCGTTGGGAGCGCCCACACGCATGTGTGTGGTCATGCACGTAGACCTGGCTGTTATGCTGTTACGCCGGTTTCCCTAGCGATCACAACACACATTTCAGATAATTAACCTGTCAACTAAGAGACCCTGCATTCATTGATGGGGCAACGGGTTGTCGGAAATATGCATGATACCATAAAATGTAAGGAGGGTTATCACGCCATGCCACTTAAAAACTAGGTGATCTCAGAAGTACTGTACAACTTCACGTGAGAACTAATCTATGAATCTGACAAGGCGACGCTGTGGTTATGATACTCGACTTACAGTGGTTACGGTTGCGAGTTCAAATCTTAGTTGCGAGTCGACTCGGTCAATAATCCTTCTGGGGTAAAAGCCATAACACTTAATGTGAAGAATCAATGTTTTTTTCTATGGTGAGGATGGCCCTGCCTTGAGAGTCTTTCACTGCTTCCAACCAACGTGAGTGCTTATCCCTCCCTTTTGACTCTTTATGTCTGAGTACTGTATATGTACACTAAGTTATTCAATATAGGTTTGCTGCATCAATATGCTGCATCAAACTGAATCTAAAAATGCACATTGCAAATAGAAGTTTGTTTTGCCGAGCAAGGCATTGAGTGCTTTGAGTGATGCTGAAGAAAAATGCTGCAAATTTCCTCCGCGTGACTATTTTGCATTCTTCAAATGTTTCGCCACAGCCAATCTCCAACATTGCAACTTAGCCTCTGTCATTGAACATAGCTGCACATTACTGACCCATTAAACTAAATCCCGACCCACGTGTCTGATGTTTAGTAAAGTGGAGGGCCTTACTCCTCCCCTCCAGCCTGAGTGATCTAGCCTAGGGTGGCTGGCAGGGAATCTAGGCGAGGAAACCTCCTGCTCAGCCTATGAATAAACACATTCAATGATAAACACAATGCCGTATTTACCCAGGAAAGCCAATTCCCTTCATTGGGATGTTTAGCCAGCACCAATTACATAAAAAAAAAATGTTTAGCTATGACTGACATACATCGACTCGGATGGCTTAACGTCTGATAGACTAGGCATTTTTTGAGATATTAAATACGATGAGTTGTGACTTGCTTTATTTGTGACATCGGATGTGTTTATTGCAGCACCCTTTGCACTGACAGTTTATAAACAACTTCACAGTTTTGCTGTTCTAAAAAAAAACCTCTCATACAATGACAATGACTGATACATGCCAAACACACTTCAAAAGTTATCATCGTATTCACCAGTTCAGTTTGAGTTCATATTACGTGTGTGCCTGTATCCACTTGTGCTTCCTAGGTTTGCTTAGTGTTACAGTACTGTAATAGATGTTGACAAAACCACTCCACGTCAGTATCTTTCGGTCCAAAGGTTGTGTACCACTCCCGGATTTTTGCCGCGAATTGAACTGTGCAGTCATTTTAACAAATACAGTGTTGCGCTTTTATGGTGGCATTCACGGTGGGAGGCTAATACCAGGTCAGTGGTGGATGTGACATTGGCGGCAGTGAACAGAGATTGAAGTCCTGAAGGTGATTGACCAAGGCTTTAGCTGACGTGCGTGTTGGCTGAAGGGCTTTACGTTACAGCGACTTACATGCGCGCGTGCGCCGCCGCGTTGTGTTGAAGCGCATTAGCTTGGTACAGTGAGAGCGGCGTAGGTGGCATATCTGCAACCCACCACGCTCTGTGCACTTATAACGCCTGGGTTTGTCTCGTCGACCTGCGACTTCAAGGTGCACTTAGCTAAACTAGCAGCTGATTGTGCTGGTATTGTTGCCGTTGTTGTCTCCCGTAGTGCTGTGTGCCGATAGGGTGGGGCAGATGACCAAGACCTACAGCGACATCGATGCTGTCACCCGTCTGCTGGAGGAGGTAATTGTGACATGCAATCCATTGTACAATATTTCTTGCTAGTTAAAATATGCGGCCCTTGGCAACCCAGCCAGTGTTGCCCGACTGGTTTTTAACTTGGGCTGTAATTACACTGTTGCTGAGTCAATATGGAATCTGTTCTCCAGACTCATCGTGTTTGAATAATGTATAATTCCTTGTAATATGAATAGTAACATGTTAGGTCGGCAGTACAAAATACAGGTGTGGGTAGATCGGTGCGCATCTCCATCTCCCATCTTATGCCAGTAGTGGAAATGCACATTCATGCGGTGGGGGTCAATTTCTTTATTAGACGACCGCTGTTGACTTCCTATGAACTTTATATTCACTATTCAATATTCACATCACTGCAAACTTCAGAGGGATGGTGGGGAAGAGTCGACCTTCGGCTCAGATTCGAACTTCCTGATTGTGAGTCGAGTGCTCTCACCTTGGTCCCATCCAGCAGGATGAAATCTTATTCGGCATCGTTAATTTACAACAGCCTAAGTACTGTACCTTACAGGCATACATTATTTTTTTTCACCTTATGGAAGTGGTCACGAGTGAGGAAGGGAAGCCGCCCTGTTTCTGTAGCCCATTCGCAGGGCAGGTATGGGCTACGGAAGCGGTGCGGCATCACTGTTCCTCTCCTGCAGAAAGAACGCGATGTGGAGTTGGCGGCACGCATCGGGCAGTCGCTGCTGCAAAAGATCAAGGTCCTGACGGACAGGAATGAAACCCTGGAAGAGCAGATCGGGCACGCCACGGAGGAGGTGATGTGCTCTGGCAGCGCTGCTCGGGTGGCATGTGTTTGACTGCATGTTGTTGGGGGAGCAGTGGCCACAGCGTTTAATTTCTCACTTCACTATTAACCCAGCGACATGCTGATTCCCGGCTGTGGCTAACATCAGTTTCGAATAGATATCTGAACTACATTTGGGCCTCCCCTAAGTGGCCTTAGATGTGTACCTGGTATGGTCCGTTAACATCAGAACTGGGGAGACAAAGACTATAAACAAAGCCAGTGATCTTTGATTTTGTACTTGTGTGTATGTGTGCCATTGTATGTGTGTATCTTTTTGATTGCGTACATTTGTGCGTGTGTGATTGCGCATGTGTATAATTCCGTGTTTGTGTACGTATGCGTGTGTCGTACAGGCAGCCCAGCTGAGGCATGACCTAGCCATGAAGGAGGAGCTGCTTCAAATCTACACGGGATCGTCCGATGAGAATGACAATGCACCCAAGTCATCCTCCCCATTACCGTGAGCCACTCAGAGCCACACACTGTGGGACTTGCTCCACCACCAGTATGATGCACGTTACAGCCACTACTTATCACCCTTCTCTATTCAAACAGCTATCTGCTAATTATTATAAAGCATATAAAATTAGGTTTTTAAGTTAATTTTACAAATTCAAGCTCTGAGCCCTTACATAATTAGTGTTTGATTGCCATGCGACAAACACTTTTCAACGCAGATAAGGTGTCTACTGAAGTGACCTCAGCAGTAGTTATATGATATCATCTTCTTGAGATGTTCCTTCTTATGGAATTAGATTACACTGAATTTTAATCCGTGTTTCAGCTGCCCGTGATTATATTCTGTTCTCAAGTTCAGTGTCTCAGCCTAGTTCTGTATGGTTTCAACGCGGGCACCAATGAATGCATAATTAAAACCATCAGATTGCATTTTCTTTTTCACCTAGTTTGGTATGCGCCTGGAGTGGGTGTGATTGTGTTTAACCTAGTTTATGAATGGCTGTTGCCCAAGTACAAAACCAGGGTGTAAATGATGCTGGTTCTTTTCTCTAATATGGGAATCATTACGAGCCACCGGGGCACTTGCTGCTGCTGCTGCTGCTTGTGTTTAACATGGTCCCCGGGGGGTGTTGTATGCACAGGGCGGTGAGCTCCCCATGTCCCACGTTTTCACTGGGGTCTAGCGGGCTGCACATGGACACAATCCACCGCAAACTGCGTGACCTCGAGGAGGAGAACATCTCACTGCGCTCAGAGGTAACATAGCACATGCCCCCGCTACCCCCCCCCCCCCCCCCCACTCTCACCGATACAGACCCCCATATCCAGACTTTGGAAGACGAAGATGTCAACTGTACCACAGTCGGTTTCAACGACACACCCCACAAAAAACGCGCACCGTCTGTTACGATGGATTTTCTAGTCGTTTACAGATTTGAATCTGTAAACTACTCGGGCGTTGACTCTGAAGGCCTTTTGTCCTGACTGTGAACGTTGCACCGTGTTCCAGAGCTTCACAGTGAGGTGTCTGCCCGTGTGTTTTCCAGGCATCTCAGCTTCAGAATGAGACAATTGACTACGAGGAGAAGGAGGACCAGCTGGTGAACGACTGTGTCCGAGAGCTACGTACGTAACAACGAGCACATGGACGGGTGGGCGGGCATGTGCGTAGGTGTCGGTGCATGGCCTAGATTTACTTGAGCGTACCATGTTCACTCATATGTTACAAGTGAAAGTCACAGCTTCTTTCTGCACAATCAAGTGCTTGGCAGCCCTGTTCCATGAGTGCAAATTTCACGTTACCATGATGAGGCGCAGTCTTTCCATAGTATGATCTTTGTTTATTACCACAGTGGTAATATTTTTTTATCAACCATGGAAGGATAATAGGAGTCGACCACACTATAGGATATTTACTCGCATTATATTCATTTAGACATGTTTTTTTTACATCCGCAATACTGTAAACATCCATCTGCCCTCTGGCTACCATTGGCTGAATTTATGTTTTTGAGCGTTGGAAATTGTTCATGTGTTTGGCAGTGACATTGCTGAAGCACTTAAAAAGATCATTGTGCTCTCTGAAAAAAACATCTTTGGCCTGGATTGAGTTAATGAAATGTGTTTAGCTTACTCTAAGGGAATGGTGGCAGCTATATTAATATTGCCGCAGCCTCGTTCACTGAATGCTTATTGCGTGAATGGGCGTCGCCCCTTTAGCATTTTTCACACACCCCGCTCAAAATAACTTTGGCTACTTTGCTGGATGTATAGCAGATAACACTGACGTGTACACACTCATACAAATTTTGAATGTGAGTGTTTGAGTGAACATCCCAAATCTCGATTTAAAGCTTTCGTGACTGCAGGGATTCATATTCTTGGTTCTTTCGGTAAAGTCACCACGTAGAATATGAATCCCAAATCTCTTTGAACAACCAGTGCAATGTGTCGGATTGCACGCACGCAGCAGATATATATATTACATACACCTGTTAAGGTCCGAGATCCGGCAAACCTTTGACCAATCCATGCGATGCACAGCCGTGCTAACCGCAGCACGCCTGGACGTGTGCGCATGTTTTTAAATGTCGCTTGTCTCTCAGTGTACTCCCTGTGTTGTGAGTGTATATTTTGCGCTTGTGTCTGCATGTGTCTCTTCGTTGTATTTTCTTATTTACGCATGTCTGCGCATGTGTATTTGAACTGGATTGCCTTGGATGGGTGTGTTTGCTTGCATCTGTGTGTCTACACATGTCTGTGCCTGTACGCGTTAAGGCACAAGTTTGCTTCTGCATTCTCTGAATGTGTGTCTTGCCATGTGACTGCGTGTCTCTCATTGTCTCTGAATGCCTGTACAGGTCCACCTGTGTTATTGCATGTGTTTCTATCTGTATCTCAGGCAGGGTGGCACATTGATTATACTTTTATTTCACAGCAATAAGGGCCTGGGTTTGATTTCTTACTCTGTTATTTTTTACGTGGCGTTTGTATATTTTTCCCTGGTTCTGCAAAATATACCAATGCTGTAATATTACTGACACATTACTCAGTTGGGATTACACATAGTAACATCGCCCCTACTGCGAAAACTTGGCAAGACCCTCCTGAGAAAAAAGTCTTGAGACTCAGTGAGGTTTCCCTGGGTAATCAAGCATAATAATAATAATAAATAATATCTGTGCTCGTGTCCACATGTGTGCAGGGGAGTCCAACTCCCAGGTGCTGACCCTGACAGAGGAGCTGGCCAGGAGGAGCGAGGACGCGTCGCGGCAGCAAGAGGAGATTACGCATTTGCTGTCCCAGATTGTGGACCTGCAGAAGAAGGTCAAAACGGTGAGCAACTTGTCTGGGTTATAGGGGACTTTCCAGAAAATAAAACGTGGATTCTTTTTGATTTATGTAGCAAATGCATGTAAAAATGCATCTCAGTGTTGTACAAAACAGTGGAATGTATTCAACGCGCCGAACAGGGAGGGATTTGTACACCACATATATCCTTTGGAGATGAGGCGGTCAGTCATTGGCATCGAAGAGTCTGCACTAGAATTGAATCAAGAGCACAGATTGCTGGGGGGAGAGGATATTTTGGGGGGATGCATTTAAATGAACATGGCACAGGACAGGGCAGCATGGAGAAGGTTGGCAAGGACAGCGGACCCCACATGAGTGGGAAAAACACGTGGAAGAAGATTGAAATGAATACGAAGAGATGACCCTTTCTAGCACTTTGTAAAGGAAAGGGAGGTTTGAGATGGGGTGTAACTGGACAATTCCCGGTTGAATGATGAATGCACTTGATCCCTGACCGAGATTTTAACTGTTACCCATCCAATTGCGAGTTGTGCTCTGCTCTTCAACTGCAGTGCAGGCTGCGTCATGTGATACACGTCTAAGTGCCCAGGGTGATTGCCTGGATCTCTGCGTGTTCCCGCAGTATACAGCTGACAACGAGGAACTCACTCAGCACCTCTCTGCTGCCAAGGATGCCCAACGACAGCTCACGGCTGAGGTGAGGGTCCTCATCAAAAACAAAATCACCTGAACTGAGGTTATTATTGCTTATTAGCCTCAATTAATTTCGAATTATGCAACTACAGGTGTATTTTTTTGAGACAAGCAAACTTTCATCAGAAACTCTTGCGGCAAGCAAGCGGTACCTGGAAGATGACATCACAATCCAATAGGTTTTTTGATCTACAGTAGATAATACACTGTTTTATACTGTACAAAGAGTGGTCGTCACTTGGAAATGAATTTGAACTTTACTTCGTGCTCAGATGATATATTACAAAATAAGTGATGGGGGTTTTCATGCAGTTATTGTCAATTTTTCTAAGAACATCGACTCCCTATACCCTGGTTTCAGTCATGGGTGGCCCAAATGAAGTGCTCTGACACGGTATTAGCCTCTTGAGCTACCCGGCCACCTCTGACATAGCCATCACGAGCCCCCTCACCCACCCATTCATCTGCCAGGCTTGGTTTATCAGTATCTTGATTTATTAACTTTTTTTACCTACTCTCAATGACGTTGAGCATTTCCTTAGGCTTTTGGCAGAGTGAGATTGTGGTTGTCTGCTAGTTTAAGCATGCATGCTTGATAACACAAGTGGGATTTGTAGTGATATTCAAGAGATTATTATTTGGTTTTGTAAGGCTTCTGTAAACATTTGTATCGAGTTATGTAATTCACTGGCTCGATTGCTCAACGCGATTGGAAGGTTGGCGAGTTCACGTGACGGTCCGAGGTTGGCTCAGCCCATCATTCTGCTGAAGTTGATCATTTGAGTACCACTTTGTGAAACGTCATAAGTGGTTGGTCTATGGATACATTACGAATATGGAATTTCCAACAGTGGCTTAGGAGTGTAAACAAAGCTAAGCACTACCCAAGACACATTTGAGCGGGGAGACATTTTTACCTTTTTGGAATTTGACTTGAGCAATTTCCAATTTACGGAACCTCACATTCACTGAAGCATGGGTCATGGACCCTCACCCAAACAGAAATGAGCTCACTTTGTTCCATAAGCCTATGTTAGATGTGTGTTTTCTGCATTGCATTGTTAGCTTGCCGAGCTGCAGAACAAGCTGGTGGAGTGCACTGAGATGCTGCACGAGGCCCAGGAGGACGTCAAGAATCTGCGCAATCAGACGGCGCCCTCCACCAATGCGGAACGCTGGCGGCACTCACACACGCACTTCCCCATGGTGAGCGCTAGCGGCTGGTCAGCTTGGCCGAGTGGCTTGAGAATGCCTAGTGGCTTAAGCTGGCTGGCCTCTTGGCATGGCGGCTTTGTCGTTGTTGAGATTACGCCCTGGGGTGAATGTAGCCGTGTTGAGCGAACTGTGCTCTGTCCCCCCCTCCCATGGCCGTGCTTCCCCCTTCAGGACTCGCTCGCGGCTGAGATTGAGGGCACTATGAGGAAGACGTTGAAGCTGGAGGATGGCGTGCCCAAGTACTGCATTCTTACTGCCATTACCACTGTGACAAACAGGCCAACGCACACACACAAACGCATATCTCAAGTTCAGTTCCATTGGCTCTAGGGGCAAATGCTCTTTAGTGAGCATGTGTTAAGGCGGAACCAATAAATTAAGAGGTGGTGTGATGTGGCCAACGCCACACCTGGCCGCTGACATTTATAGACGACACCAAGGAATTGTTTAGGCCGGGTTGGCTCGGAAGAAGCCCAGGGAAGGTTTATTTCCTTACTGAATCAAATTCTGGTAACCAGTTGCGTTATAAATTATACTAGCCACTTTATAACCGCTTGAGCGCACACATATGTATATAACACACAGAAAAACACAAAGATAAACAAGGAACATGTTTCTCTGCTAAAATTAGTATTAGAGCAATGCCCATTTCTGTTAACTCATAATTCCTAGTCGTTCAATTTTTTCTAATTCATTAATAAAAGAATGACCTTTTTTGGCAAGTCCACGGTGACTATTTTACAGTGACTGTCTCTACCATAGGAATATAGCATATCCAACCACTGTAGATGAGCACTGCCCCACTCTCCCTCATCTGAGCAGGATACAATGTCATCTTTTGCCCCAACCCTCTTGCTATTGGCGTCGTCCATCTCCTCGCGGCGCGACGCGTGAGTTACTGCCGCTGGCGCGTGTGTCGGCAGGGCCTACCAGCGGCGAGTGTTTGAGACGGTGCGCACGGCGAATCAGGCGACGGCGTTGAAGCGCGCGTCCATCTCCTCCTGCCTCTCGCCGCTGCCCATCCCGGGCTCTAACCAAGGCTCGGTGGTGTCGTCGCGCCTGGCCAGCGCCATGAGCTCGCCCCGCGCCTCCAGGAGACAGAGCGCCGCTGGGTCGCCACGCTCCAGCCTCATGACGGACGGGACGAGCGTGTCCCCCGAGTTGCGCTCGCACGGCCTCATCGACACCACCGAGTCTGGACCGGTGCACACGTGAGTCGTCAAATATAAGTGTTGTTGGATATTAGCGCTGTGAGTTGTTGGATATTAGTGCTGTAAGTGGTTGGATTTTAGTGCTGCGAGTTGTTGATTATTTGTGACATGCCCTGAGTCTGTTAGACAGTATTTTTCTAAAAGGGTAATTTTTCCTGGGCCTCACACAATGGGCCTATTTATTCGTTGCAAACAAATAGGGGGACCCCCACGTCTCATTCTGACCTGGGCCTCTAGCTCTGCGCTTTCAGGAACCGCTGGGCAGCCCTGCCTTCACTCTGACCCTCTATCTTCCCTTATACCTATCATTGCCCAATACCTCTTCTCACCCAAACCACCTGACCCTTTCGCCCTATCCCCTTGCGGCAGCGATGAGAAGCGCCCGGGCCAGCCTGGCACTCCCGGTTCACATGACCTGGAGGCCGCGCTGCGCCGGCTATCGCTGCGGCGCGAGGCGCACTTAGGTGAGCGGCGCTTCATGGAGGAGGAGTGGGAGCAGCAGTTGTCAGAGCTTGCGAGCGGCCAGCCCAGTCGGCCGGCCACGCCACCGGGCAGCGAGGGAGGCCTGTCGGATGGCGAGCAAACGCCGGGTGGATCGTCCTCCGAGGACTCGCACTCCTCCATGTCACTCGCCTTCCGCTCATACCTGCCTGAGAGGTTGCAGATCGTCAAGCCCCTCGAAGGTTCGTGCCGCGTTCAAAAGGAGCGAGTCACAGTCATGAGTCCTCTGTACTGGAGTTGGCCGAGTTGGGTGGATCATGTCACTTGTACTCTAAATTCTGTGTTGGGGAAGTGAACTGGCACTGCTGAGGTCCTACATTTCAAATTCGAATCGGGGTTTTAGCCACCTGTGATTAAATCGGTTTGAGCAAATGTTTGAGGTTTGCACTCTTGTTCTTAGATTCGTTTAACAATAACTGCGCAAAAAAGCAGTTGTCAAAACTTGTTATTTTTCCCCCCACTTGGGGGGAAGTGCCTTTCTAAGAATGGCCAGCAGGGGGCAGCATTACCTTTATATCTGACATGAGCCCTTCCAGACTTTTCAGATATCTGAATTATCCACAGCACCAGTTGATTCAGAATTTCAAGTTTCTCTTGTATATATGAGCTGTAAGGATGTAGTTTTTAGTGAGTGGCATGCAAAAGCCACTGTCATTGGTGTGGATTAAAAGTTATGCTCAATTAACTTTAGATGTGATGGCATCTTTAGATTATGTTCTCTGGCTCAAGGTGGTGCACTGTTTGCTTCCTCTACTGGCATGATGCCAATATTATAATTGGGTTTCGATACATACTACTACTTATGATGGTGATGCACGTTGCGGTCACGATGGTAGCGCAGTAGGCAGTCCCACTCTCCACAAACACACATTTAAACACTCTTCCCCATGAAATTACTTTGGGGAAGGGCAGGTTGTGATGTGACAGGATCGGTATCTGGCTCAGGTTTGGCAATTGCTAAGGTGATTTCAAAACTCAATTAGCACTTGTAGCACAGAGCCATGCCTTTCACGCCAGCCCAGCTTGCACCAATCACTTTCCATCAGCCAAAGGTTGCAGGCCTCCTATTATCAAAAGTTTTAACACCGGTCATTTATGCAGAGTTTTTAAACAATGTGTGATTTATAAAATAAATATATATAATCCCCCTTCTACCGTTGGACATTTGTAGTGCTTACTTACACCTCACTGCCCCATTCCCCCCAGCGTGCCTTCACCCACCTGGGCTACACCTAAAATAACCACCGTCCTATTTGTGTAAGGTGCGGTGTGCGGGTGATGTTTTAGGTGCAGTTGGCACGTGAAACATTATCCTTATTTGTTTAAAATTTTAAAAGCATGGCGTTTTTTATTGTACCCATTGGTATCCTATTATATGTAGGGACAATTGCCTCTGGGAAATGTAATGCAAGTCTTTGGCTTCGGTTACGTTCTTGTAAATATTTGAGTTTACCCCTCTTGTTCATTGTAGCCGTTGCTATTAAGTAGTAAAACTTTGGGCAGGGCAGGTTGTGATGTTTATATTATGTTTCTTGTTCAGAATAGCGACGTCCATTGATGCTTAACATGTTTATTATGGTGGTATGTATCTGAGTGCACATGTAGGTGTGTGTTATAGGCATGTAGTGGGGAGTAGTAGCGTAGTGGGGAGTGGTAGTGTAGTGGTTAGCACACCGCTCTACGAACTCGGCGACCTAAGTTTGGTTCCCGCTCACAACCAAGATCAATGACATATCTGTACCGATCCTGGGCCTCCTCTAGGTCGACTTATCCTTAAATTAGTACCTGATGCAGTGTCTAAACATCAGCACTGGGGAGACAAAGGTGGCTGGACGGGGTGTTGGCCACCCACTCCCTTGTGTGTTATGCCGGCCTTTGTAGATCCTACTCGTGGACATCATTTGCCCTATCCGTTTGTTAAAGGTTACACGTGGGATCTTTGTCTTTGTGTGCCATTGGTGGTGACTGCAGGATCAGCAACGCTGCAGCATTGGCAGCAGCTGGCGCGGCCACACCTAGGCGGGATACTGGACACTCGCCCGGGCGTCATCGTCAAAGACTCCCAGCTACTGGAGCTAGTCCACCCCAGCAGTTCGGCTGTGTTCCGCATCACCGACTATGAGGAGGACGAACCAGGTCCCTGCTTTGCCTCCCGCCCCTCCCCACCACCTCAGGGCCAATAGGATGAGCACCACATTGCAGGAATTCAGGATTGGTCATCCTATGGATAGGCTGGTCCTTGTCACAGCACAATGGAATTAATGGCCGCCCATACTGATTTATAGCCATGGCCCAAGATGGATTTCCATCCTTTCATTTTATGACTGCGCCCGTCGGGAATTTACCTATTGCCAAAACTACTGTTGTTCACCTCTTCTGTAACCCTTGTGCATGGTGTCCCTTAGCTGGTTCCAGTCGAGCACCTCATTTTTTGTGACACCCCACATACTTTTGTTGTGTGTGCATGTAAATGGTCTTCATTTTGCTTTTGCTTTTTTTTACATGTGTAACTCACCAACTCACCCAAACACAAACGCTTTCATTTGCTTACTCGCTCGCTCACTCACTCACTCACTTCCTTGTCAACCTAAACACCCACCCACACACTCACACACAGATGGCAAGCCAGGTCTCGGAGATGCACAGAGGGCAGAAGCTGCTAGTGGTCACCCTGACTCCATGCACAACTGTGCTGCAGAGACAGAGGATGGTAGCTCAGGTATACATCTCATCCCACAAGGCTACCTGCTCCTGGGCCTCACCTCTATCCTTGCTGACGGCTCTCAAACTAAAGTCCTTGTGCCTCTCTATTTATCACCGTTTAAAACGCCGTACCTGTTTATTACGAGACTTAGGCTATTGTCTATAACATCAGGCAACCTAGCGATGTGACTGAACTAGTCCAGAGCATTCCTTTTTTCAACAGATGCGGCTGGGGTAGTCAACAGTGTTTTTCCCATAAACATACATGTTTTATTTTGCCACGGTGGCAGGATGTTAACTACCTCACTTGGTATACAGTAGGTCATGCGTTCGATCCTGACCTTGACACCTGTATATTTGGAGTTTGCATGTTTTCCCTGTGGTCGCGTGGATTTTTCTCCAGGTCCTCTGGTTTTTCCCTCCACATTTAGAAACCTGCGCTTTGAGTATTTGGCTGATATACATTTCCACGTGATGAGCCACTTAGTTCAGCTACCATTTGTGGCCAGGTCACTTCTTAAAAAGAGCTATATATCTCAGCGGGCCTTACCTAGTAAAATAAAAAATGTTTTAGTTTAGTTTTATTTTAGGCCTGAAACATTATTTAATTGTGTTTTTAGTTATTTACCATTGCTCATTTTATGGTGTTTTTCTGCATCTTGAATATGAGAATTGTGGCAAACTTCGAAACGTTAACATTGGGAAGGTGCAATTACTTGGATGACTGAGTTGAAAAACAAATGTTATGTTCACTTTGTGGGAAATCAACAACGGTTCTTAGGTAGATAGACTGTCTGCGGCCTTGGGAATGTGGAATTTCCACCACAAGCACAGTAGGTGTCACGAATGGAGATGACCACCTCTCTCCCCATATTGATGTGAACAGGAGAAGAGAAACAATTTAACTTTTATTGGTTTTATTTTCATGTACTAACGTCTCAATTATGCCTTCCCTGCATCTGTTTGCTCACTCTACAGTTCACTACCCGGGCAAGTGTTTGGTACAGACCAACTACACGTGCACTTACACCACGTGCCGCATCATGCACCCGTCTGACGAGCCAGCCTCCGGCACACTGCCCAGGTCAGTGCCATAAACCACCACGGTCAGCACCACCATTCACACTGCTGCCACACTCACCATCAAGGATCCCATGAGCTCATGGTGACATATTCATGGTGACGGAGCTGTTGGCTCGTATTTATTTAGCCCTGCTAAACCGCAAGGATGTTGTACGCTGCATTCAGTATGCTCAATGTGGCGAGCAAGCTAGAAGTTGAGCGCCGTTGAACGTGTTGCATGTGTTGGGTTTTAATGGTATTTGTGTGTTTAAATACACTGGAGGACACGGACGCCTTTCATTTGCAAGAAATGCAATCTCATACGTGGATATTTGGTTCCTGTTAATCATGTAAAGGCAGTGGTTGCCCTATGAAGGGACTAGCCCCCACTATATAAATGTGGAATTTTCACGACTGACTCAGGGTTGTTAAATGAAGTTTGGTGTCACCCCATGCTCGTTTTGAGTTTGTAATCACGTTAGCCTTAAATTGATTAGTGTTAACGGTCAAACCTTGATTGGATTTTAACTCTGCCGATCATACCGTTTCGTGGAAGTCAACATTTCCCAACCTGTGCTCTTTCCGAGCACTGGCCAGATCCGGTAGAAATAGGCAAAACATCAACAAATAAAATATTTAAAAAAGTTTGTGATGTTTGATGCAGGTGGAGTTTCCATGTGCTGATTTCCTCCGAAATGAGAAAAGAAAAGAACAAACTTCCATGAAAACAATTGTAAACTTGTGGTGGACTGTGAGACGTGAATTTCAAACACGCTGCGGTGTGCGTAACTGTGCCCAGGTGTGATGATGGGGCCTGCGGTGAGGAGAAATCAACACAGCCCCAGACAGAGTTGCTAATAGAAGATTAGGCTGGGTCTGCAGAGAGTAAGGATCCGCAGCATGCTGTGGCGTGCATGAGGTCTTGCGTGATGCTGCTGCTCTGCTTGAATTTGCGTCTGTTCAAATCCTCGGATATGAACTTTAGCAACATGGCCAAAACAAACAAACAAACAAACTCCCTACAAGCTGCTGTACAGTTGTCTTATGAGGTAAACATGATTTATACCATGCAGGACTGTTAAAAAAGATTTGGCAACTAACTGCTCTTAATGCAAACTCACAAAGACCTTGTGCAGCCCAGCCGTAGATAAGACTGCTTGTATGAGGAATGTGTATGTGGAAATGTGGTGCCTGCGTGTTCGTGAACATTATTTCAATTGTGTCGAGGATCAGGAATTGTAATCCCAACAAATCTATTTAAAATGTCCTGCAGGGCTCACGAGCATTGGCATATTCAAAGGTCCTTGAGCAGAGGGCAGGCAGACACTCAAGTGTAACCCCAGGTCATTTTGGTGTGATTGGTAACTTACCCTGACATCTTGTTGAGTGGCACTGGTTAGAGCACTCAACTTACAATTGGAAATACTGAAATTGCTGGTCAGGGGTCAATGAAGCTATCCATCCCTCAGGTGTTGGTAAAATAAGTACAACCTTTTTGGGAAGACAACAGTGTTTTTCCTAAAAAAGGCTAACCCTTCACAATGGAAATGTGGAATTTCAAACACTGGTTCAGGGCCGCTATTAGAGATGATTGGCCCCATTGTTAATGTTGGCTAGGACTCACTTGACTTTTGACTCGCCCTCTCCACTTATGTATATGCCATTGCTCACAACAATTATCTGAATCGACACGAGCACCCCCAAATCTACTGCTATACCACCTTACGAACTTGCAATGTTTAATCGTCTGCAATCAGAAGCTTTGTTTTGCCTGATTTTTCTGCAGTCTGCTGAGCGACAGGCATGCCGGAGTATTGAGCTCCTCCCTGCGACAGCAAATCTCACACGCAGACTTGAGACTAACCCCATTCGTTCGATCATCCCAAACTACCCTCTCCACTAACATGGCTACAACGAGTGTTTCCTGATGCTCGCTGTAATCCCATCGGCGGTTTGTGTTGCCAGGAACCTCTGCTCCGTGGAGTGCAGGCTTGAGGCTTGGCTACCCCTTGACATTCTGACTGCCTCCCTCCCGGTCTGGCTGCAATTTGCAGACCCCAGGAAAAATCGAGCAGCATTCCAGAACCTAGGCACTTATGATTGGGCCAAACATTATTCATGTTGTGGTGTAGCATGATGGTTGTGGCTGGGAATGAGAAAAAAAAGTTGGCATAGTCAGTATTAATTGAGATTGGCTCGTTGAGATTTGCATGTCATTTGTAGCTATCAAGTCACACTCGTTACGGAATGCTGCTCGCAATGTAGTGTTGTCCTTTCAACATCACAGGCTGGGTGGCGAACTGACTCTACAACCCCTAAACAACACAGTAATCCAGGGTGGTGGCTTCGTGATCCACGGTGATGGCTTCATCGATTAACCCTCTCCCGTCAAACGAGTGTGGCATGTGCACTCCTCTGACATGTCCTGTGTGTTTCTTAACTCCAGCTTCTGCGGCATATCCACCACGTGCTCTTCGGACACCGCCATCTCCTCCCCGTGTCCCACTCGCCGGCCCAACTTCATTGAGTCCTTCACCAATGCTCGGGAGTCAACGAAAACCTGCAGCGTGGCGCTGGGACTGGCGCACCTCCTGTGCGAGAGGGGCATCTCGGCCCACCTGCCCATGACCCAGTCTTGCCCGGCCGTTGGCAGACCGTGCAGCCTGGCCGTGCCGTCCACTCCCGTTAACGCGAAATTCAGCCGCTCGCCAATTTACCCGCTCTCCCCCATTCCCTTCCCAGCCCTGGGGAAGCAAATCGAGATCTTCCTGGCTTCCAAGCCGGCCACCTCCATGCTGAAGGAGATGATGGGCCACCGAAGGCGGACGAGTGAGAACAGGCGGAGGAAGAAGCCAGAGCTCGGCCCCCCTAGTTCCACTCTGGTGGAGCGGCTCAGGAGGATGGGATTCAGCCCCGTGCTGAGCAGCAGCAGTGGCTCTTCCACCTCGCCGTTCTACCAGGTGCTGCCCAGCGCTAGCGGCGAGTGCAGCGGTAATGGGCAGCGCTCAGCGGGTTTGGGCGACAGCGCCTGTGAAGCGAGGCCCAGTTTCGTGCTTGGGACGGACGATGGGGAGGAGGAGGAGGAGGAGCCGGCATTCCCCGGGCTCGATGCGCGGGGGCACGACAACACCCGCGGTTTAGCGTGCATGCTGGAACCGCCGGTGGGTGGGCCCGGTTCCCCGCAGAGTGCCACAGGGGACTCGCCATCCGTGGCTACGCTAACAGGACACCTCGATGAAGTTGGCGAACCCCCGAAGCTGGTGGTCACAGCTCCCGGCCACAGTGTGGGAAGGGGGAGACGAAAATTTCGGCAGAGCACGGTGGGAGAGACACTTGAGCGGCGCGATCCTTGTGACGCGCCAAGCACTGGAGAACTGTAAACCGGATGCACGCGGGTCGTTTTTTAATTATAAGACAACACGTACGCATTTACATTTCAAGATGTACTAATGTATGTGTTTTTTGTGTGTGCGTGCCTACCGTATAATACTGTTATGCGACATGGCGTCGGGGGAAGCTGGGTTTTTTTTGTTGCGAGTAAGCTGCGCGTGTTGTGCGTCACTGTCTTTTACATATCTTTTTGAAATTGCACTTCACGTCCGTTGTAAACCACTCTTTGGTGTGTTCCTGAGTTGCACGCACTTCCTTGAAAGAGTAACCTCGTCTGAAGTTGTATACCACGATGACTCATCACGAATGCGTACGTGTCCGGTCTTGGCTGCTTGTGACCTTTTGACGATGCCAAATGCGTTTCACTACTGACATCAGGGTTCGTTGTGTTTAAACACAGTTGTGTTATTAACGTCTATATATAAAACAAACTGTGAGGTGGGACGTGCTGTGGTAATTGTCAAAACAGTAATAAGTATTATTTGCACTTGCTATACTTTGTTTTTAAGTACTTGAATGTAATGTACTTGTAGCTATGCAGGGGGATTAGTGCAACTTGTATATAAGGAGCGAATGAGAGGGGTGTAAGATACAGGTGAATGCATTAGGGGTTGTCAGAGTCTCCGGCCTCATATCAGTGGGCTTGCAGGACCACCGCTATAGAATATTGGTCGTGGGCCTTTTGATCACTTCTCATAACTGTGGCCTGCTGGCCTTTGTATGAATTCGAATAATAAATATAATTTGAAGCAGGGCAGAGCAAATGCACCAGACTGCTTCTCCCTTTCACTTGCAGTCACGTTGGAGGTTTGGCAATGACGCTTACAAGAATACAACCACAGGCTTAGCTGGTAGAAATCTGTGGCAATGGTGGCACCATTTACCCAACAATTTTGTTCAAATTTGTAATAATTCATGTTTTGAGATAGGTGGCTCTTAAGGAAATAATTCAGATGAAATCCTCTATAATACACTGATGAATTCCTTACAGTCACCTTCACTGGGTGAAAGACATTTTAATGTAAAATTTACTCCTAAATACTGGTCAATATTTTCACCACTAGGCCTTGTATTCTGTAGATTGCTGCTTTTTAATATATATTTTTTTATTTTACCAGGAAAGACCCACTGAGCTATATATCTCTTTTTCAGAAGCAACCTGGTCACAAATGATAGCTTAACGAAGAGGCTTATCATGTGGAAATGTATAGCAGCCAAATACTCCAAGCGTGTTTCTAAATGTGGAGGTAAAAAACTGGAGGACCCGGAGAAACGTTCACACGACCATGGGCAGAGTATGCAAACTCCAAATATACTGGCATCGGGATCGAACCCATGACCCCTGTATACTAGGCGAGGCAGATAACATCTCACCACCGCTGCTATGTACAAGGCCCATTATTTGTGAGCTCGAGACATTTATTGGCAGTCTGTAGTTAGGAATGGCTCACTGGTGAGCCCTTTACATCAGTCCAAGTATCCTCCTGCTCAAGAGAACAATGAAGCAGTGGTATATCTCTGCTGGCAGCCCCAGAACCAGTGGTCTTCTATCTTTTCAGAGGGGGGGCGGGGGGGGGGCGTTCTCATGATAGGTTGAACACTTTTGACGTCTCACAAAGTGGTACATATTGTATTGATGCTCAAGGAATTATTTTATTGGTGCTGGAGCCGTAGCCAAGTCTACGATTTTAACTCGAAACCTGAGTCCAGCTATCTAAGCATAGCATCGGACATCTCTGTGAGGAATTGTATAGCAATCCTGGATCTCCTTTGCAATCAGAAACAAGGCATGGCTTAATAATAAGGCTCTTAGGGTGATGCATATTCGAATGTGCTTGCTGTGGGTTCCCTCATGTCTCGACTGAAGGCCTGTTAGCAGAGTCAATTTCCCTTTCGGAAGAATTGCATCATTAGATCATTGAGACAGCATGAACGTAACTCGTTGCCATTTGGTATATGAACACTTGCATCAGTTTAATACCTTCATTTATCTCGATGCTGTCACCGGTTTCTACCGAGTCTACTGCCGACTCGTGAGGTTTTTTTCTGAGATGTTTGAATTGGGCACAACCAAGTGCCGTATTTATTTTATAAAATCAATGATTTTTTTCCACGTAATAAAAGGTACCAACCTTGCAGAGAGGGCGTGCTGTCACTTTGTGCGGTTTTTGTTTTGATGATTTCTTTTTACAATTGATCTTCACATTTTTGAAGTGCATCACCAGTTGCATCCTAGTTCAGACATTCATGAGCCCCATTTTGAAGAATTAGCCTGCACGATAGCAGAAACTACCATCAGAGTGCTGCCTATATAAGACTTAATTTTCTAGCCCTATATCATTGCTTCTTCTCTGTGAAGTGGTTTGCAGCACGTGAATCATGCAACATTGTTTTTAGTTCTTGAAACTGAGGAAGGCTACGTTAAGCGAACCACTCTGAGTATACTGTATCTTCCAACGGTATATTTGTGTTAGTGACTGGGCTGAGAGCAGCCACTCACCACTTGAGAACTTGCTTTAATAACAGGTGGCTGAAGCTTGAGAGGTACTAAATGTCTGCACGGGATGGGATCATGAACCCATTTGTGAGCTTCCAAAGTGCCATATTGGAGGAATGGCCACCAACACTTCCAGCTGAGCCCCCTCAATGTTTCCTCGCAGCAGGACTATACTGACTTTGACAGTGTTCAATAAATGGCCCTGTGCTGTGTGGCCCATCTCAGGCGTGGCAAATTAAGACCTATTTCACATCGTACAATGTTCTGCCATTGATAAATAAAAAATATAATTGATTCCTTGGCGATCGGTGAACATGGCAGTGAAAAGATGGAAATGCGCTATAGATAGGTTCAGGGAACTTAATGCTTGGACTTTGCGATGGCTAATAAGGGAAGAGATGTGAATATACAATTTAAAGCAGCAAAGGCAGGAAATTATTTACCGACTCAGGAAAGAAATTCAGATTTGCAGAAGCAGATGAAAGGAATAGTGCAAGGCAATTATTCTTTATAGTCAAATTTAGTGGCAAGAGTTTTAAGAATATAGGTTGGGGACCAATGATCTAAACGAGCTAAACTTAATTTTTAAAATTGTATTTTACCAGGTAAGGCCGACATCTATATAGTTATTTTTCAGAAGCGACCTGGCCACAAATGATAGCTCAACGAAGTGGCGTATGTGGAAATATTTCGCAGCCAAATACTCAAAACGCACATTTCTAAATGTGGAAGGAAAAACCGGAGGACCCTGAGAAAAATCCACGCGACCACGAGGAGAGAGAAATGCAAACTCCGAATGTACAGGCATCGGGGTCAGGATCGAACCCACGACCTCTCGGATACCAGGCGAGGTAGTAAACATCTCGCCACAGCGGCGCCCCGTGAAGGATGGCAGCATCGGAGACCAGTGAGAGGAGGAAATCTTCGAGTTTGGGCGAAGCTGCTTTCGCCGTGCTTTTGAACAGGGGGGAGCCACAACTCTTCGAGGCATCACTGCGGAACATCAGAACAAATCTGGAATAAAATGTGAAAATGTGGTTATTACTGAAGAGCTGGAGAGAGAAGCAATCTTAGATGAGATTTGAAGAGCAGTCGTGCTGGAAAGGATTAGGGTTGTTTCATGACAACCAGTGGACCGTGCTTGTAGCTTTGCAAAGTCCGGTACCGCTAACCGTTTCCAGTGGAATTCAGGTAATGAGTACCATGATGGCGCAAACGTGCACACCGCGTGATAGATTTGCCCTCGTGTCCCAGTTCAAAAATTAAAAGGTAAATGTGCGGGCCTGCAAATGCTTGCTCGTGCTACTGCAAGGGCAAAGCCCGACACTGGAGGGAGCTCTAGATAATATTTGGTCTCCTCTTCCATGGTGGGTGGCAGATCCAGGGTGACATATCGCCACAGCAGCTCCCTTCGTTTCTTAGTTAAAGAGATAGACGCGTTGTGTTCATTGCTCCAGACATTCTATATTTGCGGCAAAACCGGTAACTAATAATAACAAAAAATCGGTTACCGCTCGTGGGAAAAAAAAACGATTTTAGCAACCCAAGTTGGGGTGCGGTGAGTGGCGTTGCGGTACTGTCACGTGATGTCGCTCACAGGGGGCTCGGCAAACCAAAATAACAAGAAGAGACATTTTCATATTCTTAGCTCTTTCGGTAAAGTCACGTTGAAGGGTAAACAATAAAATAATAAAATATATATAAAACAATAAAAATTCTCACGACGTTTCGACCATAACACAAACGGTCGTCATCAGGTTTGTGTTATGGTCGAAACGTGAGAATTTTTATTGTTTTATATATATATTATTATTTTAATGTTTCCCTTCAACGTGACTTTACCGAAAGAGCTAAGAATATGAATTACTGCAGTCACGAAAGCTTTAAATCAAGAAGAGACATTTTTGGGGGGGGAATTCTGTAAAAAAAAAACAACCTTCAATATTTCAAGAGCCGCAATGCCCGTGCATACGAGACGGTGGTCCTTCGTGAATAACGTCACGAAGCGGTCCTCAAAGAGCCGCATGCCCCTCCGGTGCCGCAGGTTGCCGACCCTTGCTATAACATGGCACTTGCTTCACTGGCCACCTGGGGGCGTAATAGTAGCATGCGGCCAGAAGGCAAATGGGCAGTAAATGTTTGAGCCTGGCTCGATGTGAATTTCCTAATTATACTTAAACAAAAATTATGTTGAAATTATGTTATTTTTTTAACTTTATCTAAAATATAAAAGACGTCTTCGTGCTCAAAGAACATCGGGGCAATGTTGAGTTCCATCCATCGAGGAGTGTCAGCTCCAGCCTTGGAGGTTGATGGTCAGTTGTGCCAGCACTTCTCTGCACCAGCTTTCACGATGTCCCCCGTGCTGAGCTGGGCCTAATTCTTAATGTCATCCCACCACTGGGTTGGTAAAATGTACGTATTCCCATGGCCGGGACCAATCTCTGCATAGGATGACCATGGTTGACTTACTTATTTTAGTGTTCCTTAAAAAGATGATGTGCGGAGTCAACCAGTGCATGAACTCGCCAACATGAACTTGTAACCTTACAATTCTGCATCGAACACTGCCTCTGCAGCACCACACAGCTGGGTGTCTTCATCATATCAGCGTATTTCGTGTTAATTTGTCCTTTAGAGAGTCTGACTGTATGTGGTCAAGGATAGAATATTCTTATTTTCTGGGGATATATGAAATGCTTGCTATACAACAAATAAAATAACACTTTCCCATACTGGTCTCTCCACAATAAAAAATATAATAGTACATTTTACACGACCCATAATTCAACGGTTCTGAATTCCTCTCATAAACAATGGAAAATGTGCATAGCAATCACGTGAAACAAATACAGAATAAAACTACAAGCCTGCTTCAAAAGATGAACGCAAGATCAAAATACACACATGATATCACCATTCTCTGATGTGAATAATAATGACGGATAGGGAAACTATGCATTCAAATCAATGCAAGTAAGAACATTTTATTTATTATTCTATCATGTACATGTAATTTTGCTACTCGATGCTGTGTAATGGCATGTAGTGACACTTGATTGCTAATATATTTTTCTAACAAGAACAAGCTACTTTATACTTGTACGGCTTTAATTTGAATACATGTTATTTATAAAACACATGAAATCACCTCACACTGTGTGGACACGTGTGTGCGTCCAGTTTAATTGCAATTTGTTAATGATGTTGGCCAGGCGGCCTCATGCCCCTCTCTCTCTCTCTGTGTCGTTCTGTGGCACAGATCTGACATCTCTTCCACTTACCGTCCCGGGAGCAATGCAGCTCAGTCTTGTGATGCCCGACTATTCTTCTACTGCTGCCAGGATTAGGCGCATTTGGCCAAACACCGACACGGATCTTGTTGTAATTTTTTTCGACAGTTTTATTTCTTTCCACATTCGCCCGTTGAGTTCTGTTGACATTGAATGCCTAGTGTTAGCTATGCTTTCCCTGTTGTGGATGGAACCACCCTGGATAGTTTATGGCAATAAAATGCACAACTTTGGATTCTGAGGAATTTTGCATTCAAATTAAGCTTCCTAAATCGGCCAACACCGTCATCATTAACATTGCCTGACAAAATAA